GGCAGACAGATTAGTTGAAAAAGAGGTACAGGGGTTTGGGAAGCATAAAAGTTCTTTAAGGTCAGAGTCAAGACAATGAGACATTGAGACATTTTGAGACATTATTACTATTATTATTATTTTAGTTGGTGGTGTAAGTTTTCATTATTATTGTATGGGAGCTTCAAAAATCATGTACACCAGATAGTCATGTCAAGATCAGTGAGGGGAGGACATATTTCAAAATGAGTGTGGATGGAGGTTCCACGCAGCATCCCTTTCATGATGCAGACAATGGACCACTCCTATGGACTGACCACTCCAAATTGCTTAAGCTAACTTCATATGAGCCTCAGATAAGCACTGAATAGACATGTACAAAATTTCTCTCAAGTTTACCATTCTCCACTGGTGGAACTTTGGAACATGACAATGTGATGACAAAATAATTGGTTAAATACTAAAAAAGAAACATAATCAATTGACAAATGGCATATCAAATAAGATATGGGGTGTTATTACACGACTAGGGCAGTCAGAGGGCCAATAACTAACATCAACCAATCAAAATGTTCTATTGCTGGGCAATATTCTCTCAGTATTGGAACGGCACTGTCCCAAATGGTCCCGAATGATACCGCACTTGCATCCCTTTGAACTTCAGTCGTATAATAAATCTCCTATTAACCAAGCTTGCTCAGGAACGTACTGGAAGAATGTCGGCCCTCTGTCTTTTTTGTACGGACCTCGCTGCGCTCGATCTGTACTGTCAAGACCTCAGGCCGATATTCTCCCAGTGCAGCCCTCGCGCTTGGTCAATAAGATCTTTTTATTGAATTTATGGCTCATGGACAAAAAAGGTAAATTCCATCAGACTTGAGGATAATTAGACGACACTCACCAAAAGTCACTCAAGTTGATGTCAAAGTTAGCTGAAACTTGGATATGAATTATTTTCATTTATACAGTGATATTCGTGAACCTTATTATTTACAATTATAATAGTTTTATACTTTAATACTTTTGTTGTTTTCGAGTATTTTCAGCATTAGGTGTTATACAGTAGTAGTTAAATCCACTGGCACTGTCAGGTGTCTGGGATCAATTCAGCAGTTCAAGTGCATTATATGAAAAGCTGACAAAGGAACATAGAGCAAGTATAACTTTGAATTTCAGCTGAAATCTGTCTCAAACCATGTGTTACATTGCACCTGTGATATCATCTCCACTGCACCTTGTCATGGACACAAAGTGGATTCTGTGTAGTCCCAGCTGTGTAGTTTGGAGACGACCATGGATGGGTGAATGGAAACAGTCATGACTTGGGACTGCATCTGTGAATCACCATGTCGAATTGTATAATTTGATCACTTTTCAGAGTCAGAAAAATTAGGGCTGGTCATGGACAGCTTCCACGGGTCCATATATAGCTTGTAGGGGGCTGATAGTTACACATGAAGTGGGGAATTTTATTGTGAATAGCAAGGGAGCCAAGTATTTTGGAAGATGTTTGAAGATTCTAGTCATATTATTAAACAGATGTCTTTTTAAGGAACTGGCCAAACTCAATAATCCAAAATGGAAAAGAGAGACAGCTAAGTTGAAAAATTAGTTACAGACGTAAATACTATAAATTTATTGTTCTGAATGAAACTATTCAATGGCTTGATGCTTCTAAAGAAGACTTGAAACCCATTCATCCCTAAATGATAAACTTAATTCTACCTGAAAAGATATGTGCCAATTAAATAGCTTGTGAAGTCATAGAACATGTGTATGAGAGTTGCAATTCTTATAGAAGTAATGGCCAATTTGAAATGACTCCTTCATTACCAAGCCAAAATGTTTGCTAGCATCAGTCTAGGAGTGGGTGAAAAATAGGACATCTGTCAACACTAAAATATTTGCATCACCGCAATGACAAGCACTGGCAGCACAGTGATATATTAGGTAAATACATGTAGTATTAGTTTTTTACCTATACATCCAACTATAGCCCTCACTTTCAGTTTGTAACGGCAATTTATATTTCCTATAGAAATGCAGAATACACCACTGGATCCTGTTGAAATACAGACCTTGGAGAGTTACACAAAAAAATTGCAGGAAGCTAAGGACAAGGGAGATGAATATGCAGAAGGACATGCCTACCATGATATTGGTATGTTTTACTATGAGCATGAGGATTATGAAGAGGCAATTAAATATCATGAGCAACACTTGAAAATTGCCAAAATAAGGGGGGAAAGAGATCAAGAAAGACGCGCCTACAACAACTTGACTGATTGCCACGATAAGCGCAGAGATTACAAAAAGTGCATCAAGTATGATCAAATACTGGCAAGAATTGCCAAGAATGCAGGAGAAAAGGAAGAAGAGGCAAGACTTTATCGACGTTTAGGCTTTTCCTGTTACAATCTGGAAGAGTATGAACGAGCAATTGGATATCTTCAACATGCTTTAGATGTTTCCAAGGCAGTGAAAAATAGGGATGAGGAGCGACGAGCGTGCAAGAATTTGCTAGCTTGTTATGATGAACTCAAAGATTACAACGAGAGCATTAAGTATGGCGAACATTTGCTACATATGGCTGAGAAAGAAGATGACAAGGATGAGCAAGGTGTACAGTATGGAAATTTGGGCTTTTTCTATTTTGAACTTGATGAGGTCAAGAAGGCAATTGACTGTCATTTAGAATGTCTCCGTATTGCTAAAGAAAGACAAAATTTTGACGAGGAATGTCGAGCTATCAACAATTTAATCGGATGTTACGAAGAAATTAATGATTACAAACAGATCATAAAGTATACACGCCAACTGGTTGTAATTGCAAAGGAAAAAGGAGATAGTCTTAAAGAGGAACAACTGTATGGAGATTTAGAAATTTACTATGTAAACCTTACACTTTGCAATGGGAGGGAAACAAGCTTAGCTGTTGTGGAGGAGACATCAGATATACGTGAACAACAACTAGTTTCGAATGTGTTAAAACTGTTAGAAGAAAATGGTGAAAATCAGAGTGGTAAGTACCTATTTCTCATTATCATGATCATTGTCTTTGTCATTGTTTTTGTCATTATCATGGTCATATTCTTTGCTATTGTTGTTTTTTCATCATTTTTGCCATTGTCATGGTCATTTTGATTGTCAAGTAGTCACGATCTTTGCCATGGTCATTATCTTTCTCAAGGTCTAAGTCATGGTCATTGTCTTTGTTAAGGTCTAAGTCATGGTCATTGTCTTTGTCAAGGTCTAAGTCATGGTCATTGTGATTGTCAAGTAGTCACGATCTTTGCCATGGTCATTGTCTTTGTCAAGGTCTAAGTCATGGTCACTGTCTTTGTCAATGTCTATGTCATGGTCATTGTCTTTGTCAAGGTCTATGTCGTGGTCATTGTCTTTGTCAAGGTCTATGTCGTGGTCATTGTCTTTGTCAAGGTCTAAGTCATGGTCATTGTCCTTGTCAAGGTCTATGTCATGGTCTTTGTCTTTGTCAAGGTCTATGTCATGGTCATCGTCTTTGTCAAGGTCTAAGTCATGGTCATCGTCTTTGTCAAGGTCTAAGTCATAGTCATCGTCTTTGTCAAGGTCTATGTTATGGTCATTGTCTTTGTCAAGGTCTTTGTCATGGTCATTGTCTTTGTCAAGGTCTAAGTCATGGTCATTGTCTTTGTCAAGGTCTATGTCAGGGTCATTGTCTTTGTCAAGGTCTATGTCATGGTCATTGTCTTTGTCAAGGTCTATGTCATGGTCATTGTCTTTGTCAAGGTCTAAGTCATGGTCATTGTCTTTGTCAAGGTCTATGTCATGGTCATTGTCTTTGTCAAGGTCTATGTCATGGTCATTGTCTTTGTCAACTTCTAAGTGATGGTCATCGTCTTTTTCGTGGTCGTGGCCGTGGCAGGAGAGTCGGTAGAAAACTGAAATTGTCTTGTAAAAAAGGTTATGTCTATTTGAAAGTTATTGTTATTTTTTTTTTACCATATAAGATAACCAAAATGTTCCTTCGGACGGCCTAAGAACTGCGCGAAGAGATTCAAACATCAAACATATGCGTGAAAACAAAAGAACCACCTTTGGCAAATTTTGACAATTTGGTGGCATTTTAGAACATTTTTTTATGTTTCCATACATCAAAAGTCTGCTTCTTCGGAATCGGTTTGTCACCTAAGTTGTTGACATGTCTGATAAGCTTGCAAAAGAGATTAATAAACAAACCAATAAGTAACGAAGGAAGAATGAAACTCTACCGAAAACATGCCAACAGATTCAAGATCCAAGGAAGCATGAAACTCTACCGAAAACATGCCAACAGATTCAAGATGCACGCATAAAGTTATAAAACAATTCATTTCCCAAACAAATAAGTCTGTTAATAGAGATGGTCTGGAAATGTTTACTACTAAAATACATTTGAAACCAGGAAGGATTATTCAGTTTCCCTAATCGATCACATTTTGAAGTATAGTCTTGTATGTTGCTGCTTCCACCAACGTGCTCTTGACTTATTCCTTTGATAATTGTTTTGGCTATCAGTTAAACAAGGTGCAAGGTAAATAAAAATAGAGTCTGCATGAAAAGAGAAACTTCCCTACGCTGTGCTCAAGGCAATGTTTACATACCCATACTTCATTCTGTCTAGAACCGATCTCAAATATTGTCCTTGACATTACCAGGTAAATCAAAAAAGAGGAAACTTTCAGGCGAGAGCGTTTCAGCTCAAAAAGGAGGCAATGCTAAAAGGCTGAGGGACGATGAGCTCACCAGCTCAGGTGAGGGACATTAATGGCATTTTAGCTGCTTGAAGAAATCCTGATTCTAAGAAAAGTCGCAAAGAAAAATTCTTGTAAAGGTCAGAACTTGTTACGGACACTCGTTCTGCTTCTAAGGGTTTCCGCTTTCGGGAGCATTAGATTTATTTTCCTTTACTCTGGAGAGTAAGGGATCAGCTCTCAGCCCCTATGTTTTTGAAAAATCGTCTTAAAATGATTTTATTTTCAGTCCCATTTGAAATAGCTGCTTGAGGATCACGGGCAAAAGAGGCCTTTGCGAAAGCTCTTCGGATTGGAAAGGTCAAGGTACACCTTGGTCGAATAATGTTTATCGGCCAGGATCGCGCAGGAAAGACAAGTCTGAAGAAATCCATTCTTGGTTTACCCTTTGATCGTAATGAGCAGAGTACTGTGGGAATCGAAGTGAAACCCTCGTTATTTGAAATTGATGTTGATCAGGTAAAGAACTGGCAGCCCACTGAGGAGAAAGGCTTCTCGTCTCAGTTTGCCAAGGAGGTGGCAAAAATAGCAGCTTCAGAATTACAGAAAGACAATGGCAAACCAAAGGTTAATTTAAAAACTCAAGAGGAACTAAAGAAGAGGAGATCGAGTCAGGTTGGTTGGGTGTGACTTAACCACGTGCTGATGTATCCAATTGATTTAAAACTTTTTCAGAATCAGTCAATGTGAGGACGATATAAGAGTGGAACAAGTTGCGGTTAGAGGAGGGAAACTTTAAACAAATAGAACATTCGTTAAAAAATGGTAGCACTTCGATAAGCTCAAACTGAAAAAATAGATCAGCGGATGGCTGTTTCATCAGTTTTAGTACGTGTAATAATTTTTCTCACCCTACATTTCTGTACACAAATTACTTACTTAGAAGATGTTTATTTTGCAGCGGAACAGGTATCTTTTTTAGGCGCGACTCCCGTATATCGCCTCCCTACGTCGTTTTTACGAATGAGCCCTACAATTTTTTGTACCATAACAATAAGTTCCCCATTTTTGCATTTACATTAAGGTCCTTGTTGTGGAACAGTCAAAGAGGACTTCAAACAATTCCATGCCATCAATGAAGATGAAAGAACCTGCTGAAACAAAGAAAGATCGTAATCACCGCGCGGATATTAGACGTCGAGAAACTCCCATCTTAACGACCACTTCTGCAGTAAACCACACGAGAAAAACCGATCTCGTCCATCATCAAGCCCATGAGATCGACCCCAACTCCCCTCCAATGGAATTCACGGAATACCTTGTTCAGTACCAGAAAGATTTAAATCTGCAAAGCGACAGCTTATCGATAGAACTAGTGGTAGATCTTGATTTATGGGACTTTGCCGGTCAACATCTTTACTATGCCTCCCATCCAGTATTTTTTTTCCCATCAAGCAATCTATTTATTGGTGTGTAATCTTAGCAAAGAACTAGACGGCGAAGCTGAGCCCTGTTTCAGATAAGGTCTCGTGGAAAACCGTTTGGAAAACCCAAATGGAGAAACAAACCTTGAAAATATGCTGTCTTGGCTGGTTTCAGTCGATGCCGTCAGTCCAACAAAATACGGAAAAAAAAGAGGAAGAGGTTCCATACGTGCGACCCCCAGTTCAACTTGTTGGAGCACATGCTGACCAACCTGTTCAAGACATCGACAAAATGAAGTTGCAAATTCAGAAGGAACTTCTTGCAAAAGTGTACGAACGACACGTGATTGCCCAGTTTTTCTCCATAGATAACACGCAATCATCATCAGATGCTTCAGTTAAAAATCTACGGACGGAAATACTAAAAGTGTTGAATACGGAACCTTACTTTGGAGAGGAGACACCCGTAAGTGTTGAATGCGGAACCTTACTTTGGAGAGGAGATACCCGTAAGTGTTGAATACGGAACCTTACTTTGGAGAGGAGATACCCGTAAGGTGCTGTGTCCATTTCTTCAAAATTGTTGAGTATCGAGGTTTTCAAACAGTGCTAGGCGTGTAGTATTGGAAGCATTTTTTTGCTTGTAAATTCGTTTTGGATGAAGCTGGTGGAGTGAATTTCCATGTTATCTGTTTAATGTGGAATACATGTATATTGGGCATTGTTGGTATTGTATACAGCTCCAAAAGTGATTTCCGACCAAAAATGGTTCCCTTCCAAAAGTCTAAGATGTCGTGGATTTTTTTCCTAAAGTTCGAGGCGGAGAGACAACGTGTCTCCTTGCTAATTGGGCTTTTTTAAAGCCTAATAGCGTGTAGTCGCATTTCGCTTTGTTAAACCTTTTAGCTGACTATGTATGGAGCCACTGAACATAATAGTGTTCATAACATGATTTGTTTTCATTGTTAAACAGATGGTTCAGGTTTGAGAAAGTGGTTCAAGCTTTGACTGCCAAGAATGAGTTTTACTTGAACTATGAAGCTCTACAAGTCGTTGTCAAGAAGGTAGGCATTGTTAAAGACGAGGCTGAACTTGCTGTAATGCTGAATTTCTATCATGATCTTGGTATGATAGTAAAACATGGGAGCACAGTGGTATTAAAGGCTCAGTGGTTGATTGACTTATTCAAGAGGCTGATCACCATTCCCCGATACGAGGATTTGGTAAGTAACGAATTTTGTACGGTTTTCACTGCCTGCATTATGAGGTGAAATTGCGACTATGGACTTGTACCATGTCGTGGAAAGAAAGCTCATTACAATGTGTATGTCAAATTTTCAACAATCAAATTGTCACTTTCCCTATTTTATCATCAGATTCAGCCTGGCCGATATGAGACCGAATCAGACTGAATTTTTTTTTGCTTATTTGAACGGTGCTTACAACAGCACATATTAAGAATCGAACAATTTGTCTTTCTTTTTTTTAACAAACAAAATGGCATAACAAGCGCCATAAGGTCGTTTCTTGTATTGTAGGGTCGTGATTGCAAGAATGTCACCGAATGGAAAATTTTAGAAGAAACAGGAATCCTCCACATGGAACTCGTTCGTCTTGTATTTTCTGACTTTATTAAGGAGGATTCTGTCACCGAGAAGGACATCCTTGACTTGATGGAGCAGTTTGGCCTAATCGCCAAGTTTGCAACATCTACCGATTTCAAGTACTTTGTGCCAGCTCAACTTAAAACGTCTCCTAAGCATCTTTACGAAATGAAACCAGAGCCCTTTCATCCGTGTCCGTTATATATCGACTTTTTGAATGGTTTTGTTCCTCATGGAATTTACTACCAACTAGTCTCACGTTGTATTCGTTGGTGCTCAGAATATGGATGCCAGGAGCAACCTTCCCTGTTTAATGGTGGAGCAAGTTTCTTTATTAGCAAACAAGATGTTTATCAGTTAATCCTTCTTTGCCAAAAGAGGTTCATCAAGATTGTATTGACTCACAGAAAACCATCCAAACAAGAGTACTTAACTGAACAAAGTCAAGTCGCAAGTGATTTGCTCAGCTTTCTAAATAGTGCTTTAGAAGGTTTGTCCAAGCAAATTCCGTGGCAAGGTAATCTAAGATACGAGTTGCGTGTCGCTTGCCCTTTTTGCCCGTTACGGAAAATTAAGTGTCACGACCATGGCTATGTATCCTGTCCTCATGAAAACTGTTTCTGCCTTCTGAAAATGGCACCAGAAGAAAAACTGATTTGTCCAAGAAGCATTTGTAATGAGATACCCTCGGTTTCAGGACTGGGGAAGTGGTTCCCTTGGGAACATCTTAAGGTATGCCCCTGATGCTGTCAATTAGTTTTTTATATCTATCTTATTAACCAAGCGCGAGGGCCGTACTGGGAGAATATCGGCCCGAGGTCTTGACAGTACGGACCTCGCTGCGCTCGGTCCGTACGAAAAAGACCGAGGGCCGATATTCTTCCAGTACGGTCCCGAGCAAGCTTGGTTAATAAGAGATTTATTATACGACTGAAGTTCAAAGGGACACAAGTGCGGTATCATTCGGGACCATTCGGGACAGTGCCCGGTCCAATACTGAGAGAATATTGACCGGCAATAGAGCATTTTGATTGGTTGATTTTAGTTATTGGCCCTCTGACTGCCCGAGTCGTGTAATAATAG